CACTAGGAATTGAAAAACCAGCACTACATTTCTTCCAACATGAGGCTGAATGATGCAAAAGAAAGATCTAAATTCTTGTCATTTTCTGGTGTGAGCCTCACAGGATGGACACTAAGTGGATGGAAAGGCTATCAGCAGGTTTTGGATATGTTATTTCATGATTCCTCTAGAGTTTTGGAGGTTCAAGTTTGCCTACCAGTATGCACAATTCTTCATATGCAACACTACGTGCATGCATGCATGCATGCACAAAAACACGCTATTCTGTTGAGAAGGTGTTTTGCAATGCATTTTCAGTCTGACTCGTACTCTAGAGCGCTTTCAGTACATTTATCTTCTTAGAAGACTAATAAACAACGATCATAGCAAAGAGCTGACAGTTAAGCCAGGAGACACTCTCAACTGAGTAATTCTGGAGCCAAGCAAGTCTTTGGCTTTTTGAGTAGGCCTAGCTTCACAAGAAAAGTGATGCTAGCTGTTTTTGATGCTTCTGATTTTTTTTTCCTCACGCCTCTGTAATATGTATATGTAATAAACGCAGAATTCTGCATGATGTATGCAACAATTCATAGTAGCTGGCTGACTGTTGTGGATAGCCTTTAATGCACCCACAAACACTTATTTGCCTTGCTGCATAGGTAACTGGGGCTCCCATCTGGGATGTATGCATTGCACTGACTTGGCACGGTCAGTTAACACCCATGCAGGGCTGTCACCTTTCACCACGGGGTAACTTACTCAAGTGCTTTTGATCGCCCAGCGCTCCCTTTTCTGAGCCCAGAAGAAAAAAACAAAACAAAACAAAACCAACAAAAAACCCACAGGCGTCTGGGACAGAGTAGATCAGCCTAACGCCACACTGTCATGGAGCACGCCCTCAAGTATGCCAGTGACACATATACATGCAGAAAAAAGTATGCCATCAAGGACACTTGATTATGGCCTTATAGCTGCTCCAACTGCCTGCCACATAGGGAATACTGCTATCTGCCATAATAGCAACTGGTATTCGTGCCTGAAAATAAGAGACACCATAGCATGGCGTCATTTGTAAGGACTCACAGAACATGAAGAGAACATGATTAGAAACCTAAAGCTGAATAGTGTCATTGTTTAGGGAGTACAGGAGAGGATAGGCGAACAAGACATTTGCTTATCAAGAGCAAGCAAATGTCTTGTACTTATATTCTTATGAACTCCACCAACTGTCCCTCTTGGCAAACAAAGTTTCTTCACCAAACAGCATACCGGATTGTTTATTTTTCCCTTTTCCTGATTTTCTTTTACCAGTGCTATTTCTTCCTTTGCTGTTTCCTCCCAAAATGCCATGCCAAAAACATTGAGATTCTGTCCCTGCAATCTGCAGTCCCAACATCGACCAAAGCATTGCTTTCACACCTCTTTATTTTCATATAAAACACTCAGACCTCGGGCCCTTGTAGCCTACAGCTTTTTTTTTTGTGATGTTATAGCTTTCAGTATAGGATCTGAGACATACTTAGCTTAGTAGGAGCAGTTGTACAAGTGCCTCAAGGTGCTTTATGAAGCTGATTTCTGCAAGGGTTTGGCAATGTTATCAAAGGTCATACTGGAATGAAATGCATATGCCTTCTAGGCCTCAAACCCCTGTTTGAATGATTTATGAAATCATTTGGCCTGAATCTAAGCCAGCTCCAGCAGATAAATACCAGCATGTATATAAACAGATAAATACCTGATATGAACAGATAAATACCAGATATAAACAGATAAATGCCAGCATGTACCTCTCTTTCCTCTTTGCAGTGTCAAATGGTCTTTTGCTTACAGCTCCTATTTCATACAGCTCCTTGCACTGACTAGTACATTCAAGAAAAGACTGTGGTTCAGGACTGTTGTGAAGATTTGCTAAAAGTCTCTTCAGTCAATCTTCTATGGAACAGCCAGCATGGCATATATCCTTAGAGATGCAAGGACCATGTGTGTTAAGTACAGCACAGTACATTCACAGATGCACATATTACCACCTTGGGTTTAGGTCTTGGAAGTTTACTCCCCATAGATTCAAACTGAGCCACATGACATGCCTAGGAAGAGGCAAGTGCACAGGAAAGCCATATTTCATTTAAGGAAGATCAAATAGACCACAAGGCTGCATGAGACCTGGAAAATATTTCATGCACACTGGAGGCATCACACAATAAAAACAGACAGCACTCCTTAAATCCTGCCAGAAGCACACAGAAAACAAACTGCAGAAGACATTTTTTTCATGATTTTTAGAAGACTGTTTGCTGTCATTTTTGAGTTTCAAAGACATTCCCCAAGGAATGTGATTTCCTGTAATGAAGAATATGGACAGAAAGTACACATCTCCTGGGGAAAGGAGTTTGTAAATCTCAGGCTTAATATTTTCAAAACCTGAGAACATTGACAAGATGTTTCTTTTTTAGGAGAAAAATGTGCATACCTTACAGGCCAAACCTTGTTCACTTTATTTCAGAAATAGCAGGTATACAGACATAAGTGAGCTACATGCTGAAAATGACCAACAACATTTTATGAAGGTGGCATGTATGTATGTGCATGCTTGAGAAATGACTAGCAGGTGGTCCAGGAAAGAGTCCCTGCTATGGGTGTGCAAGGCAGTTTGTGGTTTTACCTCTGTGTCTCTGAACAGCTCCTACTGCACTTAAACACCCAGGGAAAGTGCATACAGCCCACATACCTGCAAGTTTGTCTCCCCTCCACCTTGACCCCAGCTCATTTGAGAAATCCCATGTTATACACTACAGGCTGAATTTGGCCCAAGGGATCTCCCTTGCATAATCCAAATGGGAACAATTAAAGCAAGATTTCCTCATGAGAACCTCAGTACGTTTTATTCAGAGGCATCCTTAGTATGAACTGTGCTTATTATGCTAAAGTTTATCTTTCATAGGTCCGTAGCCTACCTGCAGTCTTGGTCATGACCATACTAACATCTGTTGAAGCCTCATGTTAATTTCTTTAATGTTATCTAAACCAGTATATGTCATACACACCATGTCACTTGCAAAATAAATAAAAAAATGTGCTTGCTGGGTAATATCCACATGCAATTTGCAAAAGCTGCTGTCCACTTAATGGAAAGGCAGGTATGTTCATTTGAAGTTCCCCAGCCTGCTAAAGTGTTGTCTTTAATGTAGCTTATATAGTTCAGCCACTTGAAAGTCATGCCTGTATTTCAGTATTACTAGGACACAAAAAACACAGCATTGAAGTTGGAAGAACACAATGACAATTTCAGAAGGGGTCAAAAAGATCATTTTTAGACTCTCAGGAAGCTTCTGCACTGCTTTCAGGAGGAGCGGACACTTACCAGAATGTCACTTGGGCACATGCATATTATCAATAACTGAAGGTAGCTGCCCTTGGACCACATTAGGGGAAGGGAAATGGAGAAATCAATTGTTTTCTTGATTTTGTGGAGATGGCAGTGCTTGGTGAAGTTGCTTATTGAATCATATCAAGTTGCTTTGGATCCTCCAAAGAAGGATCGGAGTGTCCTTCTTTGGATATCTTCCAAATCTACCTGGATGCAGCCCTGTGCTACATGCTCTAGGTGGCTCTTGAGCTAGGGAGTTGGACGATCCCTAGAGGTCCCTTTTAACCTCAACCATTCTGTGACTTTGTGATCATTTTCAAGCTGTTTTTGTTCGTTTTGTTCTTTTGTTCATTAGCCTCAGGAAGTAAAAAACACTGAATGAAATGTCACCTGGTTTTGTTAGTGTTCCCTCTTTGAGCCAGAGGGGAAGACATACAGAATTAGTAGTCCCAATTTTTCCCTGACAAGTCTAGACTACAATGGCTTGAATTTAAAATAGCTCCCTTGTCCCCCCTCCAGTGTTATTAGAGCAACTGGAGACATGCTTTCACTTAAATGTGCAGACTTCACAAAATCTGTGCTTTCCTCTTCTATTTGCTTTGCAAAGCATGTGTGACTTCTCCAGTGTTCAATATCCCCTTTATAAAGCATATGTGGCTGCTTCAGTGTTCAATATCCCCTTTAAAAAAAAAAATCGTTACCTTGGTATGTTTCCTCCTTCCTCTCAAAATGTTCATATTTGGATTTTAGCACATAATCTATTGAGATGTACATAAGGTGTCAACTATCATTTAGCAATTCTTCCTTGAAAGTTGCTTAGCTTGAAACCAGTTTGTTTCAGTGCTCGTTATGATGACAAATGAACATAAATGAATATTAAGCAGTAAAATGACACAAAACTGCCCATGTCTTTCAGTTGCCCATGTGCTTGATACCTGCATGAAGCATGACCATATACAACTGTCAGGATGCTGTATACAGAGATAACGTCAGTCCAAAATACAGCCACAATGAGTGTTAACCTGGTTCAAAGTTGCTTAAAGCTTACTGAATTCTTTGAATCAGTGCACCAGTTTCAAAACACGCTCTCAGCTGTGTTTTGATTCCATATTTCATACAATGTCACCGTTTATGCTAAGCCATTGTCATAGTAACACAAAGAAGCAAGTTATTTACATCACTGCTTGTGTCAAATTGAGCAGGCGGATCCTTCTTTAAACGAAACAAAAAAAAAATACACCATTGTAAGTCACACAGCTTGTTTTGGTGTGCACTAAAAGGAGGCTATCCCAAGGCAGACTGCTCACACTTGTTCCCCTTCCACAGACGCTGCTGACAATTGCAGGCAGCAATAGCCAGCAAGCTGTGAAGAACAGGCAACTGCTGTTACAAGATCGCATGGGATGTCAGCAGAACACCTTTTCCTGTTTTCATTTGAGATTCAGTCAAAACTACCAGATTTTTAATGATTTGAAATGAAATTGAATAAAACAAGCTCACCAATGTAAAGAGCAAAATTTCTATTAGTATCTTCCTACGAAATGCTTTCCTCTTCCCTTACAGTGTGACTTGCATGGTTCCATGTAGATGACTATAGATGCTGGGGTCCAGGATGGTATGTTGTAGTAAGTGCTTCAGCTCTGGGACCCTTGGATCAGTGGCGGTCATAAGCAGCAGTGGCTGCTGGTGGAGCTGCTCCACGGGCTGCAGCGCTGTAATAGTAAGGAGAGCCTGAAAGAAAAGAGATCACTGTGAAGAAGACAAAGGCAGAAAGGTACCAGCTTGCACGGTGCAGACACAGACACTGGAGCCCTTTCCAGCTTGAATCCAGACACGCAGCAATAAAGACCAAAAATTAGGATAAAAATCCTATTAGTAAATTCTATATGACTGTGCTGCTCTTGCTGCTTTACATGTCTGCTGGCTGCAGGATATCTCATCCACTCAAAATATTAGCGATTTTCACAGTGATTTAATTTTCAAAATGGAAAGTTGAAATGAAATGTTCATTACTCTCCCTTCTCTGTGTTTTTTCTCCCTTCTTCTTGGCAGTATTTTTTCCTTTTCTCAAAATGTTTCTTCAGTTGCCTTTTTTGGTGCTGTCTTCAGAAAGTATTGGTAATTTCCCCTTTTTCTAGGTAATTAATTTGTGTAAAAACCAAGTTAAGCAAACGATTTTCCAGGGAACCATTGCTTTGGTCTCCAAATCTCCATCAGATTTTTGCACACACAAAATGAAAATGTGAAAGGAATTTCCTCGAAGGAGTCATACTTCAAAACTTGTCCCTGAGGAATTGGGGCAGGTTTGAAAGAGTAACATTAGGAACTGTTTTGGAATAAGCTGAGCATTGTCATAGGATTCCTGTATGTACTGAGCACATCAATCAACCCTGCCAGCAAAGTTGTCATTCAGCAGCCCTCCCTGCCTTTACCCCACTGGGACTTAAACACCTTAGGGCTATGGAAACAGGGTCTTCATGGCCAGCTATGTGACTTCCTACAAAAGCAGTAAGTTCTGCAGAACTGCATGGCGGTTGAACTGATACTTCTGCGGAAAGGCTACTATGCTCCACAGAAACTCATCTGCTCACCTTCCTTAGAATCAAATCTTTTGCCTCAATTTATGGAGCTTTAATGACTCTTCTGAAACCTCACTGTGACTATAAAGGTCTGATTTCTAGGGAAGTTCCGTGAAAATCTCTGAAAAGCTGTGTTTTGAGCCTGAGTTTACCATTTGATGCAGAGAAGGGACATTAGAAAGGATTTGTGGTGGCGTGTCTCTTCATGGGAAAGACTTTACTTCCAGAAAATTTAAGGATGCTTTTTCTATCATGTAGCAGGCATCAAGAATAAGAGCCCAGGACAAACAAGATAATCAATTTTGGAGCTGACACCAGTTCTCAGAAAACTGTGGAAAACTCAGCAAGGTAGAAGTGGAAGAGGGAGCCAATGGGATTTTTTTTTTTTTTTGATTTGCTTCCAGTTACAAGTTTTAGCAAACACTGTTCTGCCAGGTCCACATACTGACAAGCACCTGGACATACATAGTACATTGCAGTGCTCCAAATGTACCACCTCCTGACCTGATACATCTCCTGTGCTAAAGCTAGTATCCTCTGTGTCACCTATGCGAGCCTGGCTGAACAAGGTAATACAATTAACTCCTGTTCTTAATGACATTCCTGGAGAAGGCCTCAGAAGACAAAACACTCCACAAGCATTTTACCCCCCAAGAAGAACATGGACTGAAGACCTAATGACAGCAGGTGTTCCTAGCAGCTTTTCGTGAGCACCTTCTACCACTCATGTGAACTGATTCACTAAATAGATGCTGGTTCAAAATACCAGGCACAGCCTTAAGAGAGCCAGAATCACACCATGAACACAACATACAGAACAAAAGATGGGAGGGATGAATCCTATGTAGAAAAACAAACACATCTATTATTTTTGCATACATATACAGAGCTTTTCCTGTAAAGGAACATAAGCTTACCACCTGCCCTCCTAATGGTCCTATTTGCAATGCCATTGTCACAAGGAGGTTGCTTCTGTAAGGGTTTTAGCCATAATAATAAAAATATTTCTTCATGTCACATCCAGAGATGTGCAACAAGAGTCCCACCGCTATCTTGGCCATACATATAGACCTTTGATTACCACGCAGACATATCCCAAGATAATACTGTGACTCCAGATCTTAGCAAAGCAAAACCATCATTGTCAGGAACAGCAGCACTAACTGCTCTGGTTTCAGAAAAGTGACTCTCTACTTATGCCATTAACAGAACACTAATTTCAGTTTATGGATAGAGATGTCATTACTGAAATATATTATTCAGTAATACCTGTTGCACCATATAGGGATATGCTGCAGACAGAAAGGCACACTAACTATAGAGCCTCCCTCCTTTTAAAATGGTAACATGTGTCCGCTATATTTTGGAGAAAATTCTAAGGCTTCTTTGAATATCTCTCTCTGAAAAAATTCACTAAGGAAAAAAAAACCAAGAAAAGAAAATACTGGCAGTTTCTTTCCTGTTGGCAGAAAGATAAAATTTTGGATTATCTTGTTAAAGAAAAAAATTCTGTTAGCACTAGGAGTAGATCAAGAAAATGAATTTAAATTAATTTAAAAATTCATGTAAAAATGAACAAAAGCATAGAATGCATACATTAGATCCATGAAACCCTGAAAATGTCAGACATATGAGGATAGTAAATGGAAGAAAAAAATAACTTTTCTGTCTATCAGAAATGTTTAACAAGAGATTTCGTGGGATCATGAGAAACATGAATATTCCTTAAAACCAGAGATAAGAATGTTTAGTGCAAAGCTGCTTATATGTGAATGACAGCAAGAGAAATCACATTTTCACCTCATCAGATAACATATCAAGTATTGCATAAAAGAAAAGATGACTGAGACAAGAAAAAACAATTGAGACACATTTCTTCCTCTAGGTAGCTCACTGGAGATAGTGCTTGCAATTAAATCCCCTTTTACGGAGCAAGACAGTGTGTAGGGTTAAAATCAAATGCAAGCCCTTGAAGATCTAGGTGAAATTTCTTTCTTCACCAAACACAGAAATGCAAGTGTTGGACCACATGCTCGTGATAGCCAACTCAAAGGTGCATCCATTAGTAAAAACTTCAGTTCCTGCACAAGGCTGAGCTGCCACAGGACCTCATAGCATAACCTTATTAATTTGAGCAATAATGCTGACTAATCAATGTAGCTGAATTAAGACAGAAGTACATAGAAGAAATTCAGTTTCAGGGAAGAAATTGAGCATTATTTACCAAGTGAATAATTGAATTCCAAATAAAAAAAGATATTTTTTAGATGGAGGCCTTTACTTTTTCTCCTCTATCCTTCTCCATTACTGTTCTGATTCAGTGTAGCTATACAAGTCCAGTATTTCTCTGACGTTTTCCAATGGCCCAATATTTCTTCTGAGTTTGATTTTTCCAGCTCACATTTCAGCAGTGAAATCAAAAAAGCTTGTATTTAAAGCGAAGAATGAAAATGTCACATCACAAAACATTTATTCTTTCTCCCTGTCATTACACCCACATCTAGAATAGACTTGTCCCTTCCCCTGTCATATTTCCTTTCTAATTCATATTATCATCAATTTATTTCTTGACACAGTCATTTCTGGCTCCTACTTGTTCTCTAATCTTTTTATAGAAACCCACAGAAGAACTGAATCTAATCCTAATTGACTGGTTCCAAACCCTTTCTTTTCGTATGAAGCCATGCCAATACTGACAGTCTAATGACCCTGTCTCTTGTAACAACAGCTAGATAGTTCAGGTGTATCTAAAAAGGAATCCTGTCAGACTCACTTAAATTTCACAACATACACAAATCACATCGGTTCAGAAAAGAGAACTGTGCATCAAACAAAATCTTCTGTGATCCACATCAAGTTGAAAGTAATGAGTGAAAATGGTAAAGATGTTCTTACAGCAAACTAGCAAGAAATTGAATCATTTTTCTTCATTATGCTGTGTTCCTATTATCTACCTTTACCTTGTTTGTGTTAAGTAGACTTTAATCAGGAAAGCTCATCAGGCCATGCTGACAGCAACAGACTGAACCTTCTGTGAGCACATCCTTGCCCTTTGGCGTGTCTGTGCTCACACCTGTGTCTCTCTATTCCCTTATCACAGCAGCTTCAGATTATTAACAGCACAATGGAAAACTAAGCCACTTTTTCTATCTCCTACTATTTCTTCCCCCCTTATGTGGGGGTATCTAGGTATTATTCCACTGAGTGGGATCCGAGCAAGTAGCTCAGTAGCTCAGATTTATAACATCTTCCCAATATAGTCCAAGTGAAAACTTAAAAACTATCTTCAGTCTTACTGAAGTCATCACAGCATCAAATTACAGCAGGTCAATACGGTCAGAAACACAGCAAATGCTGACTGTGTCTGTACAGCACAGGAAGCTGTTGATACAACTAGGGTGTACTGCAGCCTAGAAGAGTTGGTAGATGCTGCAGGTGGTAGAAATGATCTCTTCTTTTGTCCCTGCTTCTTCTGACCACTCCAAAGGCTTGAATTTGGTCATCTCTCTTATTACAAAAGCTATAGGGCACTGCGTTCAGATCCAGGAAAGGAACACAGGTGGTCACCCTTTTGCATCAATTAGAAAGCTCCCTTGAGCATCCATGGAGCTGGATGTGTTATCTGGAGCAAAAGAAGAGGGAGCACTAAAGAGCATGAGCAAAGCATGCACAAAAAAAAAAGAGATGACATTCTTGTGGAGCCAGGCAGCTACTCTCATGAGCAGGATGTCATCTGAGAGTATAATTATACCCTCCAGTGGAGGAACTAACACTTTTCACTGCTGTTGCATTCTTAGAAGAAAATCACGGAGGACTAATAACTAAAATCTTTGCACTATTTATTCTTTTCTTTATTAGTTTATTTCTTCCTATCTTTATTCCTTTCTTGTTTCCAATCTGTCCCCCAAATTATTTTTCAACCTGAATATCCTTTCTTCCTGCCACTAGCAAATTATTGCATCTCTCTTTTAAGTTCCTCTTTGACAAATATCAGCTTGGTGTGATTGCTACAGCAAAGTTCTTCTTTGCCAGCACAGACAATTAATTTAACGTGGGCTGTGTTAACCACTTACAATATTACGCTTTCATTTCAATGAAGGGAGTGAGACTTAGGAAAACAAACTCTGTCAGCCCATGTACCTGTCCTGATTAATTTTGTCAATGCTTCTGCTGTGAGGCTGGTATTGCCAGAGGCTGCTCTCAGGAAAGAAATAACCACATGCACTCAGAGAAACTCCTTGGAAGGATAGAAGCACCCTGGATACAGATTAAATTTACTCTTCTCACCCTCCTCTCCCTGCTCTGATGTACGGGATAAATTCTTAGTAGAGCTTTCTGGGTCTCCAAGGAGGCTTGGAAGAGATATTTAAGACTCTGCAGCAGATGCCTACCTGCCTTGAGTTACCATTAAGTTTAGGGGTAACTAGGCGAAGAAGGGAGCACAGGTTGAGACTCTGAAATATAAACCTAGAGGTCTGGGTAAGCATACTCCCTTCAGGAACAAGAGAATTTATCATCCGTCCTGCACACTGTGGCCAAAAATGGATATTCTCAACAAGCATAGCCCAAGCTCACCGAGCTCGTCCTCTAGAACCCAATTAGCGTGGGCTACTGGGCTCTGTTTACAGAATTAGATGCCAGGTGAGAACCCATTGCAACATCTGCATGACATCAACTTACAGCAAATGAACTTTTCAGCCTAACTGCATTTTATTTTGTGATGCTTTTTTGCCTTGAAGGCTTAAGATGAAAGGGAAATCAAAGATGAGCTCAATCTTATTCTCCCAATGCACACCATACAACAGATAGCAATACAGGGAAGTAAGAATTTGTGGCACTTTTTAATCAAGCATCACTTGCAGTTATGTCAGTAGTATTGTGGGACAGATATTTTAAAACCGCCAGTGACCAGACTATGAGATTCCAGCTCTGTAAGAAATTCCACTGTTTGCTGATACAGTCATGATGAACTGGAGAAAAAGTCTGCCTTTAGACATTGGCACAGAACAAAAATTCCCATTTGTTTTTATTTCTGGCACACCTGAAGTTTTCAGTCTAGGAATTCCAAATAGGTATGTCAAAATATACCCCAACAATGCAACATTATATGTGCCACAGTTAAGTTTGTATTTACCAAAATAGGAAATTTGGAAAAGATTAAATCAAAATATTTCAAATATGATAAAAGTTAAGGGAGTTAAGTTGATATATTTTAACAACTTCTGCCAGCAAAAAGTAGTAGCATTGCTGTATCATCCAAATCTTGGAATCTGGCCAGCAAGTCCTGAGTATTTGTAAGTACTAAATCTGACTAGCCAGCTATGCTATTTGCATTACTTGTTGCTGAGTTGAAAGGCAACTGTTCAGACTCAGGAACTGAGGAATTGCTGGGGTTACTCAGATGAATAATTACTTTCCCAAGTGAGCATGAATCTGTGGCAACGAATTCAGGATGTGGTCTAGGACTTTTGGCAAAAGTCACTTTACTTGTTTTTAATGTAGACAGGTTGGGTTCGGTTTGATTTGGGTTATTTTCTCTGAGTATCCTGCTGGTTTATATGTTGTTTCTGAGGTGACTTCTAAGGACTGTCTTTATGGAGCTCAGCTTTACTGCTTTTGCTTTCAATAGTATGAGTATCCAGCAGTTCTGAAAGCTCATACCAGCACTTGCTTCTAGAGAAGGGCCAAAAATAAAATAAAATGAATTAAAATAATTTTATAAATACCTGTACACACTCTTGCCTTCAATTAATTAGATTTCCTTCACAAAGACAAACCAAAAGCTCATAGGCACTCCTGGAAACTACTGGTTTAAGCTCACAGGACTCCCCTAGCCTTTGTGCAGCTATGCCTATTTATATTGGCTGAAGATCTGTTCACTGATTTATGATGGAAGTGCTAACAAACCCTTAAATGTGGTACTGCAAATGGCAGTATTATACCAGTACCATGGCATAGGAGGCAGAGGCTGTCTATTACTCCCAAAGGATTTGTTTAAGGGCAAGAACCATGATGAATACAGCCTGGGTGGCTCAATTACATGGGGAATCAATTACTTAAAACAAAGAATCTGGATTTAAAAAAAAGTGACAAAAATTCAAAATTGTTTCTCTGCTGGAGGTCACAGATAACAGCCCTGTCATCCATAAATCTGGAAATCTCTAAGGCATGCTACCCCTGTGTTGAGAGATGACAATTAATTGGTATTTTACTTACCTCATCCATATAAATTATGCAAGGAAAAATTCTAATTACTGCATTCTACATGTATATAAGGTCAAAGTGGGCCAGCTTTTGACAATGTGTAAAATGGATTATATTTATCCTTCATGTGAGGGCCATGATCCTGCGCAAACCACATGACTCCTAACCCCTGCTGTTTGTGAGAGACTGCGCACAAGTCAGGCACAGGCACCAGAGTCTCTGCAGAAGGGAAGTCTAAATTCCAAAGCAAAAGCGAAATTGAGATCTAAGTATGGAAACAGATATAACGAGCAAGAAAATAACAGTGCAGGGAATGGTAGGTTTTACATTTGGCTATAAGCAATTCAGTGCATTCAAGAAGCTGGCATATTTGACAAAGCCCAGGAGACAGTTTGTGGGGACTTGGGGTTTTTTTGCTTGTTTATTTTTCTGCAGTGAGAACCATAAGCAGGATTTGTATGAGCAGCATTCCTTAATCTTAAAAAAAAAAAAAAAACCACGGAGTCCTGTCTTCTGATGCAGTATTTCTGTATTTCACTCTGTCTGTATGGACTGTACAGGTCAGAAGTGGGAAGGGAGAGTAGGCTTGTGCATGTCGTCTCTATCTGGCCAAGTGAACTGAACCAACTTCCCCTGAAGTCCCACTCACAAGTGCCACACAAGGCTGTCCTATGACGTGCTTCCTGCCCACTGACAACCAAAGCATCCCAGTAAGGTTATAGACAAGAGCCTGGAATGGCCCCACTGGTGACACACAGAGACACACGTGGGAGGTGAGGTAGGGCACTTACCCAGCAGTCCAGGATTGGGGAATCTCCAGGAGTCATTGTATGTTGAATATTGCGGGTGGCTGTATGGACTCCCAGAAAACTCACTCCCTAAATTGAACGAAAAAACACAAAACAAAAGATTTGATGTAATACAGCTGTTACTGTTTCTTGGAGGAAAAGCAATTTAGTATATGATGTGCCCTAGTGAAGGCCTTTGTAAAAGGACTACGGATCACCCTCTTTGAAGAAGGGGAATCTGATGGCCACATAATTAAAAGAAAGGGCATTGTCTTTTGTGCTTCCCTTCACATCAAAACCCACGCCTGCTGCATTGGTGAGATTTTCTCACACAGCCTGCAGCCTAACAGGAACATTGCAGGAACACCACAATTAAGGGTAATAAAGAGGAGTTTGGTGACATATCTGAGATGGTCTTTGTCTTCATGGCTCTATGAGACTCAGTGTATAAAGTACAACACTAGGACTCAGCTGCTCAGGCTTTCTGATGCAAAAAGAGCATGGATTAGTTAATCTGCTGCATACTGAATACCATCCCAGTTCCTCAAAGAAAACATGGTATTGGGTTGAGAACATTCTTTTATTCTTAGCTTGTTCTTAGCTTTTATTCCTAGCTAAGTATTATTAGCTGAGCTTTTACTAGCTAAGGACCAGATCAACACCATGTTTGCAACCACAAATTTATGCAACCAGTTCTCCCAGGCTCAATGCCACACAGGGTGACCAGCCTTGCTTATCCCTAGCACACCAGATAAAACGGACTCAAGGACCATGACGTCTTTCCTGAGATAGTGGGTGGCCTCCATTGCTTTCAGATATGGTTTTCTTGTGCTATTCACTGGTCCCAATGGAGGGCTAATGATTTTGATTAACATTAGGAAGGCACAAACATTCTGAGTTACACTGGCAGCTCTTGTTCAGTCTGCACAGGTGACTTTGCACACATGCTCTTGTTAAATGGGTTAATACACCTCGTGTACAGCACTGCTAGTTGGTGTGATTGTCTACAAACTTATTTCTGACAATGTAGAAAAAAACACATATTAGCAACAAAAGAAAAGGACAGGGTTATATCAACAGTATTTGGCCTCCCTGTAATGCCGTTTTAGTAAAAGCAGATCTACCTCTCAGTCTACAGGTCTCTCTGATAACATAATGTTCCTCTGCTGCTGCCCATGCTTTTGGGGATCCACAGTATTGTGCCCATCAGTCTGAGACCTGCTCTCTTTCCTGTAAGTTAAGGCAACACTGATTGAAAGGGCAAGGAGGCAGAGTCTATCTGAAGCCAATAGAGAAAAAAACACGCATACAGTCATATATAAATCATGGAGTGGATTGTAGCTCAATGTACATCAAGGTCCAGGAAGGATCCAAGTATTCTTAAAAACAATAGCTTTACCCAGCACTGAAGCAATCAATCCCAATGGAAACAGAGCCTTTTGGAAGAAAGATTAAGCCTCATGCTTAATCTTTCACCTGCCTCTCTTCATTGGAACTGGATTTGGCAGATCGGGAGCACTGGGCTGGATGGACCACACATCTGATCCTGGCAGCCTTTTGTTTCTCAGGGTCTTTTCCAGACATTAGAAACCCAGAGGTTATTTGTGGCTGCTGCTGCTGCTTCACACTGCAAGGTTCTTTTGCAGGAACAGAAGAGAGAAATAAAAATGCTGAAGGTAAGGCTGTTAAATGCCTATTCCATAAAGGGCCTGTTATGTTTCAACTACATTTCTACTAACCAAATTCTGTAAGCCCAGAGAGTTTTCATCACTGCTTCTAAAAAACATGTATTAAACATGGTGAGCCACTGAAATGGATCCGTTTCCAAGTTTCTCTTTCTGGAGAAATACACAGTATGAACACTTGATTTATGTTCCTTGTCCTTTCAGATGATGGATGACACCAGTGCCTAAAGGTTAACTCTGTTAAAATGCTCGCTCTTGTTTCCTAAATGAATAAAACACGGTGGAGACAGCAAAGACAAAAGAGACGGTAGGAATTTCTGGGAGAGTTGGACAGTGGAAAGGGAGAAGAGCATGTCTGCAGTGGTCAGAAGGCTTCACTAAGCAAGCAGACCAGGCAGCCCAAACAGCAGAGGAAGGCATGAAGAAGATTTCTGGAATAGAAGAGGCTAGCCTTCATTAAACTGTAAGTTCTACCTCTTTCTTTTTCCTCCTCAAGGACAACAAAGCATGAAAGTCACCAAGAGCAGCTGTGGGTCATAGGTATTGAGTAGTGACTTGAAGTACCAACACTACTGGTAAAGGTGTCCCAAATTCTTCTGGTCAGAGAGTGACTTTTCCTGCTGGATAAAATGTCTCAACAGACAGTTCTATTCTGCTTCCAGAAAAAATTCCCTGTCTTGATCCCTGCCTCTGGCTTCCTATTGCTGCATATAAGACAGTTTTCTCAGATAAATCATTCCCAATTTATGACCTCATTACCCATCCTCAGCTGGGATTTCACCACATCTTTGACTTAGATCTGTCCTACTACTGTTTGCCCAAGACAGCAAAGCACATGGACAGCAAAAGACTTAGCAGCTTCATGGTTGAGCAATGTGCAGTCTTCCTTCCCCAGAAGGCTAAAAGCCAAGTCTTCCTTCCAACGTATGTTGCACAGAAATCCTTTGATCTTATTAATTATTTGTTTTTATTTTTTATTTTTTAATGTTATTTTGGGGTAAGGAGAAATGCAGGGATTGAAAGAACAACTTAGTTCAATTGCACAGGGGTAGGATGATTATGAAAATGGATAATACATTCCTTGACATCTTCCCAGTTTTTCATAGATGAATAAATGAAAAACAAGAGCAGCCCCAAGGTGTAGAGCCCACCTTGCCTGGCCATTGCATGCATAAACTGATGAGAGGGAGCCTCACTACAACTCATTCTCCAGGAGCTGTATGATATAAGGACAGAAAGACAAAATGGACAGGACAGCCACCCATCCCTCATGCAGGCCAAGGATGTGGACATCCAAGATTTCGAACAAAGCTGTACAAAGCTGCCCTGCACCCCGAGAAAAGACCTCCACACCCATCAGAAAACAGGATAACACATCCCACTATAGCACCTCAGCAGTTCAACCAGCTTGTCCCTGCCCCCCTCTCCCATTTTCACTAGCTGTCCCCATGTCCCGTTTTCACAAGGTATTGGGAGAAACCCTGTCTACCTGGTGTCTATGCCATGCATAACAGGCAGTAGCGCTTCTTAAATACTTGGCAGCGCTGCTGCATGACTACTAGTGGAAACAAGCTGACATTTCATTGTTTCTCTCTCCCTTGCCTTGCTCTCCTTCCCCCGCAATCTCTGCTACCCACCTCCTTCTGCACGTGCACACACACACACACATCTTCGTCCCTCTCTGGGGGATGCTCTGGTGCCTGTCAGACTGAGGCTTCGAATTCTCTGTTTTTTATGCCTCAGTGGTCAGGGTGTCAAGCTCCTGCAGTACAGACCAGCCAGGAGCTCAAGGAGTCACTGAACACCATCAGTTCAGTGACAGTATTTCGTGCTTCTTAACATACTCTGCATATCCATCAGCCATGGGGAAGGAGAAAATAAAAAAATAAAAAATAAGCAATGGCGGGGGGGGCTGAAGGAAGTGGGAAATAAAATCTCAAGCCCTGCTATCACCATCACAGAATTTGAGCAGACAAATGCTACAGCCATAAACGAAACTAAACTAGATGAATGAACACTGCATGAATGCTTTGTGATTTTTGCCAGATATTCCCCAGCTATCAGCTATACTTCTTGACAGCACCGCTTATGGCCAGCCCTAGCCCCATTCAAAAAATACCATGAATCAACTACTGACAGAGGTGCATACGTGTGAGTTTATGTGCATCTGCACACACAGTCTGCCTGTACTGGGAAGAAAGGGATAGTTATCTGGATCCATTGTTCCTTCATGTTAAGCAATAAAGCACCTTCATTAATACTTCTCCTATTGCTGAGGAAACCAAGAGAGCAAGCCAAAGGCTTCTGCTGATTTTAACCCATTTCTTACTATTGATCTGACTTTGCATAGCAATAGTATTTTAAGGTGCTAGAGCCACTAAGGGGCCAGACCCTTCCATCACCGCTTAAGGTACAGATTTATTGTGGAACAAGGGAGAAAAGATTCCCAATAATGTTATCACTCCAATGCAGCAACAAAATCTGGGAGAGGTATTTCATGCTGGGACAACAAGATAGTGATACTAACACCTCGTTGTTGGTGAGCTTGCCACTGCAAGTACAATTTTAACAAATTCAGAACAAGTATTTCAAAAAAGAGTTTCTATACATCATTTCCAAGGTCAGCAATTTGTTCTGATTCCCAACCCGAAGAAGTCTCAGAATTACAGAAAATTCTGTGAAACAGAAAATCCAGATTCAATAAAGCTCTAAGCAGAACTTGCAACATGAATTTGTACATATCTTTGGACATGCACTTTCTCAGTTCAGGTAGGCGGTATTTCTATGTGCATTCAGGATAGGAAGAAGCTATCACAGCCATGAAGGTTGATGATTATACCAGGAAAATTATTTTAAGATAATTCTCACAGAGCTGACCAAAACCAAACAGATTTCTTCATCTTTTTCTGGACCTATTCAGGTGTAATGATATTATTTTTTTTCTGGAAAGTTAGCAATAATCAGACTATCTATTAATGTTTTGAACTTATATGGATCTTAATTAACTATTGGAAGATTCATGGACTTGGATCCTTTAAGAGCCTCTGTCATCTGACTTGTGGTGGTCGCTTTTTATTTTTTCTCCACTTCCAAATAGCTAGATTCTTTTACTATTCAGTTCCAGGTTTATGCAACTTTTAGCAAGCCCTTCCATCTGGCAGATTAATAAAACAAACCAGGATTACTGACGCTAAACAAATGCAACTGATTAAGGGCAAAGAATGGGAGGTTGTGAGAGAAAACAGAATTCTGGCCAAGAATAGCAAAACACTGCCTATCTTCTATTGGATTCCAGGGTAAACTTTAAATATGCTGTATTGGTCTCTAAATTGTGTCTATATAGATTAGCCTATTCTTTCCCCCTTTATTGTGACCTAATGACACAGGCCACAAGTGTCCTTATCT